TGTGTTGCACCCCGCATATTTAGTACATTCCAAGTACTAACGCATATTTTGCCTACATGATGTCACCATGTAGGGACCGGAGCTACTCTTGATCCTTCTCTCCATTCACGTGGCTAGTACGACGCTTATCCGAGTTTGTTGGTGAGTCCTCAATGATTCGAGGGCTATGTTATGTTTCCTACTCCTATGTTTTGAGACTTTAGCTTGCAATTGTATTTTGACTATGAGGGGAGCCGGTAGAATGTCATGGCCCCGTCCTATCTATGTATGTAGAGGTGTGCGTTGGACAAGTATTTTGTAAATGAGCTTGACTCTTATTCTATGATGTCGTTTTGAAATGATTTGCCTTAGTTCCTATTTCCCGTTAATTAATGTTGAATGTACTTCCGCGACCGATGAAGTGTGATGACAAGTTTAAGAGGCTTGTTTGGGGTTCCTTCGGGTTCCTCATTCGCCATGTCACGTCTAGGCCCTAGGCTTGGGTCGTGACAACATGCAGCCTTCATACTATGCCAGACATCTATGCACTCTTTATGAGAAACAGGTGCGAGTGGATGGCCCGTAGCCCAGGGTCCTATATTGAGGAGATCGTGAGGGAGTTTTATGCTTCCTATGCAGCCACCCTTCGAGGATCCATTGACAGACGGGTCAAGCCCGCATCGCAGCCTCCACTCAGGGATACACTAGTTCGTGGGTATTCAGTGGATATATCGGAGGCTACTATCCACAGATTCCTCTACGACCCGGGCCACACTCTAGTGATCAACATGGGCAAATTTGATTATCGTTGGGACATTGTGAGGAACGGGGAATTCTTAAGGAATGCATAGCAGATGGAGACATTATTGTGTTGGTTGGCCCATCACCTTCCTACAGATAAAGAGAGGGCCGAGTAGGTCAGCAACCAGAGTAGAGGCATCAAGAAGGCCACTTTGACTTTTGTGGTCAAATTCTTCTAGATATTGGTGCGAAATAGAGTGTCTCCTACGCAGGCAAACAATGTTCTTACTTATGACCACACAGTCATGGTGGCAGCCCTAGTTGCTGGGTTCGAGATGGATTTTGCCTGCATTATTATTTCGGAGATAAATGAGAAGGCCTTCAAGGCCACCACCACTTACCCCTTCCCATTCCCCATTTTTCAGCTGTGCAGGGACTCTGGAGTTATGGTGCATTGTGATAAATTGATTTAGGTGACCAAGACCCTCGATATACGCCTGATTCGAGATGAGGCCAATGTGGCCGAACCGTGCAGGGATCCGCAGGTTGAGGTGCCACTACTGGGAGCAGACTTAGTTGCTGATGTGGAGTAGATGTAGGGTGATGATCCTCCCCCTCCAGCCCCTACTGAGGATACCCTGGCCTCTCATTCTCTGGCCACAAGTCAGGCCCCTAGCACCTCAAGAACCACTCTCTCTTCAAGGTCTGCGACTGTGCCTCTAGCCCATGTTTAGAAGTTGGAGGCTCAGATGGTAACATTATTACAACATGTGAGGTCGTGGATGCAGCGGGCGATTAAGGAGTCAGAGACTAGGGTGGAGCAGCAGATGGAGCAGATGATGGATCGTAAGGTTCATGCAGCCCACCAGCGCCTTGATGCTTTTGAAC